GATGTTTATTCTTTGCAATAACGCTTGAGTCCAAAACTTTAACGCAACGAGCTATATGCATATTCTTTACATGAGAACATTCTTTAACGTGACATAAAATTTAGTCAATACGAGCTACCTCATCAAGAAGTAGTGTGCTTAATTTAAAGATAACAACATAAAGGCGATATTGCTAATACGCAGATTTGGTTGAGTATTGCTTGGAATCATCATTCCCTTAAGGCAAAATTTTTGATTTGGTCCGTTGTTTATATATATCGCTTTGTGATGTGCGCTTCTAAAATTTGTTAACTGATTGTATTCGTCGGACGTCGAGCTCGTTGTTGCGTTTGTTTTCATCGTTACCTGAAGAATGGATGAGTCAGAGTTTGTCGTAGTAAATGAGGATAATAAGGAATCCACAGGACTCGATAACCTGGCAGAAGTTGTGCAGGCATATGGAGCTGCACGCGGTACTTCACATATCTTTGCGGTTATTTTCATAGATTCTCTTCTTAAAAGCGTTACTCTCTTGCATGATACATTAAATTTAAACATGGAACTTGCTCTGAAGAATACTCCACCTGATTTTGAATCGAACTCGGATGATCTTATGCGACGTATATTAGGATCGGTAAATAGTCGTTTGTTTGGATAATTGAACATTTAATATAGTTGCATACGTCTTCGGAGGGTGTTCTACGTAACCATGTGAAAAGTCTCTGTTCAAAATTGGTTGCTGTAAAGAAGGAATATGAGGATTTGTCCAACAAATATGAGGCCCTAAATGTTCAAGCCTCATCTGGGTCTTCGGTTAGTTCTGCTTTTTTATCGGTGGTGTCGTTCTTGATTGCTTCTTGCTTGAATTGCGAATTTCGAATTGATCACTATTGGATTTCTTGATCTACAGGAAACGCAAAATACATCTTGTTACCGTAACTCTATACTTTTGGAAATCCTGTGTTTTAATCAATTTTTTGAGAACTATGTTGTATGACTCGGGATTATCTTGCGAATTTCCCAAATTTAACAGAACGCCTTTGCTGGTACTAACTACGGCACGTTAAAATGAGCGGAGACGTGTGAGTTAGGTTAAACACGAGATTCAATACACGTTGTTCGTTGTTTATAGACAGTCGTCACCAGTTAGTTTACATTTTACTTGGTGAGTTAAAATATATGCGCAAGTTTTCGCTCAAGCTCGGTTCTCTCTCCACGAATCTGATTCCCCTTGGTTTGAAGTTGTTGCCATGGCCATATGGATAATTCCGGGGCTAAGTACGCAGCTTTAATTATTTGGGGTGTCACTAATTTAAAAAACGCACACTAAGCGCTTACGCGGTCAAGTT